ATCATGGAATTTTTTTTTGGAAAACGGTTCATGTTATTGAGTTGCGGTTTGCGGCACAACGTAGCACAAACGTAGCACAACACAGCACAATAAAAAAAAATCCAAAATTCGAGAAGTGCGGGACCAACTTCACACACGTAATATAAGAGAGGATGTAGTAACGCTCTCCGATCATAAGGCAATCGATATACATATTGGAAATAAAACGGACCGTAGCCCTATTACTATAACCAGAAAGAACAGACAATTCCCAAGCTGGTGCATTCGAAGGGTAAACATGGATGTATTTAGAGCGGTTATGATCACACACCATGGACACACGGAACAAGAGAAACAAATGACGCCGAAGAGGAGGCCAGAAAACTAGAAGGGGCATATAAAGTTGCGTCAGACTTGGCAATAACCAGAAAAGGAGGACAAAAGAGGAAAAACACCTACTGATGGACGGAAGAACTAGCGGAACTAAGAAGAGACTACAACCAAAAAAGGAGGCAATACACTAGAGCAAGGAAAAAACCGGTAAGAGGAGACCAAGATGAGAAAAGAATCAGGGATCTAAAAATGAAAATGGATCATGAAATGAACATTTTCAAAAGAGAAATCAATAAATCCAAGAAAAAAGCCTGGACAGAGTTGATCCAACAGATCGACAAAGATACTTGGGGGCTACTCTATAAATTAGTGATGGGTAAAATCAAACCAGCCTCAGTCCCACTCACAGAGAAAATGGAAGATGGACAAGTTAAAGAGATTATAAAGGAACTGTTCCCGCCGGACCAGCAAAGAGCACACGTACGGCTAGAAGTAAACTGGCAAGAGGAATGGAGCGTCACAGCCCTGGAAATGAACGTAATAACAAAGAGAATGGGAAACAAAAATAAGGCTCCGGGACCGGATGGAATCTGGAAGAGGTTGATACACGGGACCATGGACATAATGGTAGAAAGATGGACTAAATGCTTTCAAAGCTGTATCCAAAGCGGAACGTTCCCAGCCAAATGGAAGGTATCGAAGCTGGTATTAATTAAAAAACCGGACAAACCGGATTACGAACCGTCGTCATATAGACCTATATGTTTACTAAATGAAGGAGGAAAGTTATTGGAAAGATTAATAAGCAATAGAATAAATAATTACCTTGAAAATCATGAAGAACTATCTATCAATTAATTTGGCTTTAGAGCCAAAAGATCAACCATAGACGCAATATTGAAACTGAGAGAAATAGTAGAGACAGGAACCAAACAGGGTAAAGTAGCGGCAGCAGTTAACCTAGACATTAAAAATGCTTTCAACTCGGTCAAATGGGAAAGTATCATAACGGGACTAGAAATAAAAAATATACCGAATTATCTAATAAACATAGTATCGAGCTACTTGAACAACAGATACTTAGTATACACGAATGAAAGGCAGGAATGTATAAAATTACGGATAAATAGAGGAGTCCCGCACGGATCGGTACTAGGGCCATTACTATGGAATATCGCATACGATAAAATTTTAAAAGTAGACATACCGGAAGACTGCCATATAATCTGCTACGCAGATGATACATTAATAATTGCAATTAGAGATAACGTAATGGAAACGGCAGCGCGCGTAGAGCTGGCCACAGCAATCGTGGTCCGTGAATTCGAAGAAATGGGACTTAAAATAGCTGCTAGAAAAACAGAAGCAACAATATTTGTGCCGAAAAAAGTCCCCCGACCGTTGCCAGTGTTAGTTATTCAAGGAGAATTGATCAAAATAAAGGACACAACTAGATATTTAGGAATACATATTGATAGCAAGTGGAAATTCACTAACCACTTTAACAAGACATCGAAGAAAGTGGAGATTTTAACAACCTCCTTAGGAAGAGTAATGCCGAACTTCCGAGGATCAATGGAGGAAAAGAGGAGACTTTTTGCAGGGACATTAATGTCAGTATTGATGTATGGAGCTCCGGTGTGGGCCGATAACATCGGAAGCAATAAGGAGGTACAGACGATCCTGAGGAGAACACAGAAGAATATAGCCGGCAGAATAGCCTGCACCTATAAAACTGTGGCTTACGAAGCCACTATGCTGTTAGCAACGATGATACCGGCTGATATCCTAGCTATCAAATATAAAAACCTTTATTTAAGGATTAAAGACCTACGAAATCGCGGAATAGGGATTAGCGAAAAAGCCAAGGATATACTAAAAATGCAAGCAAGTAGTCATGCGGTAGCAACTTGGAAAAGAAAATGCGAAAGAAGAGGCGGGTATGGACGAAGAGTGAGGGAGATGATTACACCGAAGCTCGAGGAATGGTATCAGAGGAAAGCTGGTAGAGTAACATTCCATATGACACAGATAATATCGGGACACGGATGCTTCAGCAGCTACCTATATAAAATTCATAAAATTGCTACAACTAGATGCGCACATTGCGCAAGTAGAACGGACGACGCAAACCACACACTAGGAACATGCGTTGCATGGCAGAACGAAAGACGACAACTAATCACTACAATAGGACCTAA